GCAAGAGTTCCCCTTTTCTCCACATCCTCACCAACACTTGTTGTTTGTTGATTTATTGATGATAACAATTCTAACAGGGGTGAGGCTGGTATCTCATTGTGGTTTTTATTTGCATTTCCCTGATGATAAGTGACATTAAGCATCTTTTCATGTATTTATTGGCCATCTGTGCATCCTCTCTGGAGAAATGTCTATTCAGGTCCTCTGCCCATTTTAAGATTGTTGTTGAATAAATCCTCTAAGATATATCCCTGACTTATTGATGCATGTTCTCTTAATGCCTCTCTGCTCACTCTACATGAGTAGCTTCATTAATTGCAATACCCACACCACTATTTTGTAAGTTGGAGCAGTAAGTTTCTGGTGGCCTAAAAAAATTCATTCAGTGTTGACATCATTTCTTCCAAAAAATTCAACATGTTCACTGGTTATGAAAGTAATCTTCTTGCTTCTCTTTCAGTCTTCCAATGTATTACCTGTGAGTTTAATCAAAGAGTCTGGAAAGATAGTTGGAAGCAGAAAACAAAATAGTATCAATTACTAACATTTCCCATTCTCTGCTAAAGCTTGTCTTATCTGAAGCATGTAAAGTTGTTTAATCTTTTCCATAATCTCAGAGTAAAGAGAGCCTGGAAAATCCTAGTCATTCCACAGTAACTATCAGTTTGATTTTCCATAACTATCTGGATGCAAAATAAAAATCTTAAGAAGTTGATCCAGGTGGCAGGATGGCTCAGCTGAAAAAAAAAAAAAGGAAAAGAAGTTGATCCAATTCTAAAAATGACTTCTCAACTTACTAATAAATCTGAAGAAACAACTCATTTATATTTTCTTCAAATAACATCTGCTTTCTTGGCCAGGCAGCTAATACCTGAAAAAGTTTCTGAGTTTGTTCCAACAAATCTACATTTAAAGAGCTGTTAAATGCATTTATGTATTAAACATTCTTTTCTACATCTGACTTAGGGCCAGAGATAGGACTGTGAGATAAAACCTTGCCAAGAAATTATAAAGAAGAGGAATAAAATTGTCTTCTAAAAGTTAAACTGTGAAATCAACACTTGATGGATCAGGGCAGGGAAATGAGAAATCACCACATGGGACAAAAAAGCTTCTAGGCCAGCAAGATTTGGCTGCGATCCCACTAAAGATATAATACACACATTTAAAGACCACATTAATTGATCATGGATTCATGAAAGAAGGGTTGCTAAGGCAGACCTGAATAATACCCACCAAGGCTCTGTGCAGAGTCGGGGGAATCTAGACTGGCAGTGAACTAGTGACAAGGCATCACTATGGTTAACATGAATGTATCATTTTATCTTAGACTGATTAGCCTGGGCTGGCCTATTATTCATGATGGAAAGCTCAATATTGAGCATACCGCCTAGCCTCAAGCAGGCAATCATAGATTCAATGAATTTGCTCCAACTCTTTGCTCACAATCTCCTGATTATAATTTGGCTCTCACACAGTTCTGCCTACAGGGAGAGAATGACCTAGTCCTGAGAATTTGAGAATTCTGGCCCCCATGCCAGCTATCGCACTCATTGAAATACATAGTTTAGCATTTGAGCTTGTTGACTCCGACTCAGCTCCCAAAAAAAAGGGCCCTTGAATGCACTGAGGGATCAAGTTTCTGAGCCCATAGGGATGGCAGCGAGTCTCTGGGCCATGGTGAATTCACCAGGGTGGTGATGATGATAGTGATGACAGGGCCAACCGCAGCCATGTGCTGAGCAATGTGTCAGATACTGCAAGATGTGCTTTACGCACTTGAACTCATTTAATCCCCACAGCAATCCAACCAAGTAGGCATTATTAATATTCCCATTTTATAAATGAGGAGCCTGAGGCTCAGAAAGCTTTAGTACTTACCCAAAGACCCACATTAGGAATCTGGAGTCAAACCCAGATTTGTCTGATTCTAAAGCTTAACTTCTTAAATTTTGAAAATATGACTTCTGGAGGATGAACCTGTCCACACTCCTCTGCTTCCACAGTGTGCTTTGGGCCCTCCAGTCCACCTTCAACATGACTATACATCAGCATACCACTACTGTGCCAGCCTTCACATCAACGCAAATAAAGAGCAGCAACCAAAACAACCCTTAGTCAGAAGTGCAGAAAGCCAAAGCCTACCTCTGTGAACAGCACCGCCATCCCCATCTAGTCCATGCAATCAGGTGGTTAGCTTCAGAAGCCAAAAATCACACTTCCTTCTCCATCACCACCCCAGCTACATGCCATCTAATCACATCCTTCAGTAAACCTCGTCAATACTTCCCTAATGTGTCCACTTCTCACTGTCACCACTGCTACTACCTGTCTTTCACCTGGACCTCTACAAGTCTCATAGGGCATGTTCATGCTTCCACTCCTGCTCGCCTACATTCTCAAGCATCTATCTAGCAGAACATACTCAGCCACGTCTGCTCCAGGATGGCACACAAGCCAAGCCTGGAATAGGCTCGCGTCCCCTGGACCATTCTTCCCTCCACACCTCCTCTAGTCAGCTCACACAGCAGCTCTGGGATTTGCTCATGTTTCACCTCCTCCAGGAAGCCTGGGTTAGGTACCTATCTGAGGTGTTCTCTTCACATTCAGCTCATCCCTCATCTCACTGTTGGGGAATTCTTTATTTACGTGACTCCACCCCCAGACTATGTTCTCCATGAAGCCCAGGACCCACTGTGTTTACACACAGTGCCCCCACACACACACACATATGTGGAATGAATGAATGAATGAATGAATGAATGAATGAACAAGTGGGAGGCTGGTATATCACAGGTGTTAGATTCCACCTGATTCCTCAAGTCCCAGCTGTGTGATCTTGAGAAAGTTGTCTTATCTCCCTACTGTAAAATAGAGATCATAAATCCTACACTGTCACATTCTTGTGAGATTTAAACTAAATCATATAATATGTGGAATGTGCTCAGTACCATTCTTGGTATATAAAAAGTGTTCAAATGTTGGTTGTTATTATTATTGCTATGTCCTTGGAGACCTAACTGAAAACATTCTGGTTCTTGAGTATCTCACAGATATTCCCAGACCCCATGGTGACTCAGCCATTACCAGCCTCCTCAGCACTCATGTTTTACATTTTATAGTGCATTATATTGCACTCTTGAATGTACTGCTTTGACAGGATCTGTCACTTCCATACTTTCTCCAAGATGCCTAATACTCAAACAAATGCTTTAGGTGAAATGGTATCAAGATTTACTGCGGATCTTATTCCTCATTGGAGCCATAACTCATGGGCAGTCACATGGCTCCTAGTGATGCAAATGTCATACGGAGAAACCAGCATGACTCTGAGAGGAACACACACGGAGAAACAGGAAGGCTGTGGAACTGACAGGTGGTGATCCCAAAATAGAAATCAGGTCTTAAAGGGATCAGAAGCAAGACAAGGTCTCAGAAAGAGGATGTCCTTTGTCACAACAGATGTGGAAAGGTGAATTATCAGACCAGTGGTTTAAAAAAATTACAGCATAGCCCCTCAATGGAATACTGCGCGGCCATTAAAAATAGGGAGGAGGCCAACTAATAAAATGGCAAAAAAGAACACCCAAGAGATCATGTTACATAAACAAGATACAAACAATATGTTTTTTGATCAAAGTATGTAAAACTCACTTTAAAACAAATTAAGGGAGTAGATCAAAATTTTAAGAGTTGTAACGGTTATGAATTTGTAGGTGATATTTTTCTTTGATGGATTCCCCACACTTTTTGTAGTGCTTGTTATATTCGCTTAAAATATAGACTAATTCTTTTAAAAAAATATGTTGTAGTGCCTCCCTCGCAGATGGCTCCTGGAAGAGATGAGATAGTGCTGAAGACACGCCCCGAGCTAAAGGGGGCTCCAAGAGCCTGGGGCCTGGGCACTGGGGGCGTCCAGCAGTGTAATCCCGCCCCTACCGGTCCTTTCTTCATCGGCCAACACCCCACTGGGTCTCAGTGAGGGCCCGCCGGCCGGCTGCCCACGGTGGGCCCAGCCCTCCACCCACCCCCGACCGTGAAGTCTACCCCAGAGGGATCCTCCCTGCGAAGTTTCTCTTTGGTAGGCGGTGGGGGCGCCGCCAGCAGCTGGAAATCGAGCGCCCTGGCGGAGCCCCGGAGGCCTCCCCGGACCCGGCCGCCCCGACCGCCCACCCGCTGCCCCGCGTACCTCTTGCAAGGGATCAGCGCCTTCCTCTCGTCCAGCAGCCGCACGCGCTGGTTGAGCCCATCGTACGAGAGCAGGGCGCGGCTGTTGCGCCCGCTGCTCTGCCGGTACAGCACCTGGCGGCCCTCCCACTGCTGCGGCGCCTGGCACGGGCGCGGCTCCCCGGAGTTGCCCCAGGTGCCCGCTGGCGGCACTGCCGCCCTTAGGCCGCAGAGGCTGCCCAGCGCCCAGACCCAAAAGCCACCCAGCAGCCAAGTGCCCAGTGTCCCCAGGGCCCCACGGAAGGGAGCACGCCCTGGCATCGCAATCCGTCGCGACCGTTACCCGGCAAAGGCTCGCCGGAGCCCAAGGGGGCGCTGAGCAGGCGGGTCGCGGCGCGGCCCAGGCGAGGGCGGCGGCGCGTGGCTCTCCCGCACTGTGCCCAAGTGTGATCCAGGCGAAGTTGCTGCCGGTCCCCACGACGGCTTGTACAGCTGTTGGGATCAGGACGCGCGAGGCCGGGAACCGAGACCAGGGGCCTGGGAAGGCTCCGATGAATCGTCAGGAGCTATTTGTGTCTGGGTCGCTGCCTGCCGCAGATTCTGTTTTCATTTGCTCTCTGCTGCCAACAGGAAATGCAGTGGCAGTGGTGCCACTAACATCCTGAAGGGCATCCACGTTTTAAGAGGGGGGAGGGGTGGTGATGAGAAGGGATACGTTTCTCCACTAACTTAAGTATTCAGCAGGTAACCAAACACGAGGAGACAAAAATGAAAGTCAGGAAAGCAGCGCTGCTGCACTTGCTATGCTCCACACACCTTGCCCCTTTTGCTAAAATTGCCACCTTCTTCCTCCAAATTAAAAATGGAAAGAAGGGTCCCTTCCTGAGGAAATGATACCAACCGCTCATCACAGCCATTTCCCAGTGTCCCAGTCCCCGCTCCCAGTACAGAGAGCCTAGGGGTCTACAGGATAGGCCCTTGCCCTTGGGCTGAGGACTTAGGGACATTGCCTCCAAGCCACACTTGCCGTGAGACTGCTCCCCACACCCATCACCAGACAATACCACAAGCCTAGAGGTGTGTGGGCCTGGGAGTTTAGCATCTTCAAGGACAAAACTAATTGAGTTTATGGGTTATGTCTATGTAATGTTAGGATCTATAATATGGAAGAAGCAACTTAAAGCAAGAAAAAAGCAACAGCTTAAAAGCAAGACCCTTGCTTTCCAAGTGTATAGCTCCTTTTCATTTGATTTGTGTTTTAAGGATGAGGAAGAGTGAGTCGGGTAAAAGAGGGAGTGAACATTCCTGGATGAAAGACATGGGGACAAGAGAAAATGGGTGTAATGTTGGGGTTCAAGTATGAGGCAGAGGGTACTCTGGAGCCAGATCACTCAGGGCATTGAAAGACATTTTAAGGATTTAGTATTAATACTGAGGGTGGTTGGAGCCATGGATAACTTCAAAGATAGGGAGAGGCATGACGGGTGTATATGCCTTAAGAAGCACACTCAGGTGTCAGTGTGGAGAACAGGTAGGGTGAGGCAGAAGGCTGGGAGAAGAAAGAGGAAGATGCTGTCATAATCCAGATAAGAGATATTGACTGTCGGAGCCAAGGCAGTGGTAGTGGGAATCAGAGGGTGGAACAGGGTTGGGAACTATAAAGGATTTCTGGTTTGGGCCACTAGGAATTCAGTCCTGAGATAAACTCAGTTTAGGATTGATTGGTTTTGAGGTGACTGTGGAATATGCAGGTGGAAACACCCCGGGAACAGCTGGATAAGCACTTCCAGAGACCAGCATGGCTAGTGGTCTGGAAGTGGAAGCCATTGGCATCTATGTGGTCATTGAAGTCAAAGAATAGAATAATGGTTCTCCACCCAGGGTGACTTTGCCCTTCAAGGGACAGTTGGCAATATCTAGAGACATCTTTGATTGTCACAACAGGGTGGGGGGTAAGCTGACAGTGGCGTCTAGTGGGACGAGGCCAGGGATGCTACTACCCATAATGCAGAAGACAGCCTCCTCCCCCTCCCAATAAAGAATTATCCGGCCTCAATGTCAATAGTGCTGAAGCTGGGAAAACCTGAAGTAGCAGGGAGTGCAAAGAGAGAGAGAAGAGAGCTGTGGATGGAGCTCTAGAGAACTCCAGACATTTAAAGGATGGGCAGAGAAGCAGGCACTTGAAATTGAAAATAAATCACCAGAGAGAAGCCACTGACCCAGGGCAATTTCCTCAGTTACATGAGCTTTTGGCAAGTCAATGTCAAGTGTGGGGTAGATTACCAATGGACTTAACGGGGTAAGCAAAAAGCTTTACAGAGAAGGGCTTTTAACTTCTTAGCCTCTCAAAGGACATGCTGTGGAGAGCATCAGGGAAGCACCTGATATATGACTTGGTACTTGCATAGTTAAACGAATGCAGCAGGATCAAAATGACTGCAGACCACTGAGCCCTCTCCAATCTTTCTCTCCTCAACCAATTCACAGGAAAAAGGGCAGGCAGTTAGGCTTTCTCAAAACTGTATCTTCTTCCCTCATTGAAACTCAGGCTGAAAATCTTTTTCACTAACCCAGGGATTTAGTATCATTGGATTTTACTGGTGGAAATGCCTTGAGAGAAAAAAAACCTGTCTGCCTTAAGTTCAGATTTCCAAGGAAACTGTATTTTTAAAGGTTAACATTCAGAGAACATGTTTTCATATTCTAATGCCCTCGGAAAATATCATATACCAGCAATCTTACTGCCTGAAGATTGATGTTTCCTTGCAACAATAGAGCCACCCTTTTCTGTGGATAGCTGAGCCAGCAGTTGCTTTTACTACCTCTTTCTAATAAAAATAAAACAGAAAACAAAACATACATAATTGCTTTCCACACTACACAGCTACTTACTCAACTTAAACAACAGTTTTCAAGCACATCAAAAAACAAGATTTTAGGCTGCTGGGTTGGAAATCACTTGGCATGGAAGGTTGACAGTCTTTCAGACTGTGGTGTCAAAATTTTCTTTGTTTTCTCCTGGGTTTCATTCATGTTGAAGAGAGGAATAGGGAGTTAGAAGAAGAAAGGGGGAGAGTTGGTAGATGGAAAACATTTCTCAAACTAGAAGATGCTACTGCACCTTCAGGCAGTTCCGTTCCTGTTGCAGGTACAGACCAAATGACATTCTGGAAAAACTTGAGCCCACACTAATGTCTACTAGCCACGACGATAACAACAAACAAACTCCACACAACGTGGGCAGGAGTGGGGTGGTTTGTTTCTCTAACGTGTCCATCCTCTTCCAACAGTTTCTCCCAACCACACGACTGTCTCTACTCAGCGCGTCTCATGCCCCCTACCGGAGAAATCAAGTATGTTTCAGAATTAAAGGGCAGCAGATGTTCCCATTTCCCTGGAACTCTATACTTGGGGAACCTGTTAAGGCAGAAGGCGCAAAGTTCAGCCTTGACTCAGAAGGGCTTCTTTTCTTGTCTTGAAATCCTCTCTTGCACCCTCTGGGATCCAGTGTCCAAAACGACTGCCAGGGCTCTTTTTCTTGGTCCGAAGAGAAAGGACTGGCCAGTCTAAAACGGAGGGACTTTGGGGGAATGAAGAATTTCAGCCCTGGGCTGCGGCCCGTTGGAGATGATGTCACCGCTTCTGCGAAGAGAGGGCTGGGGGTGGAGCGGCCGAGGGGGAGCCCGCGCCGCGCCTTCAGCTGCCAAGGGAGCGTTCTGAGCCCACGTCAGGGGAGGTGTCGGGATAAATAGGCTCCCGCAATGGCCGTGGCTGGCTGCACTAGGAGCTGCCGGGTCCGGGACTGGAGCTGCCAGGGTGAGTTCGCGTCCCGGAGGCTGAGGGCTGGAGCAGCTGGTGCTCTGTGCTCCAGGCGGCTGATATCCCCGGCCAGCCCCAGTGGCCCCGCATTGCTGCCGACGGGAGTTTGGGGAGTCCTGTGCCCTAAAGGACTTCCTCCTCGGAGAAGGGAGAGCGGAAGACTGGAGGGGTGGGAAGAGAAGGGCCCTTTCCGTCTGTCGGGGTCGCGGTTCAGGACAGTGCCATGCTCCTCTCCATCCTGGCCGCGTTGTGCCTGTGGCTGCGCTTGGCGCTGGGCGTGCGCGGCGCGCCGTGCGAGGCGGTGCGCATCCCCATGTGCAGGCATATGCCCTGGAACATCACGCGGATGCCCAACCACCTGCACCACAGCACGCAAGAGAACGCCATCCTGGCCATAGAACAGTACGAGGAGCTGGTGGACGTGAACTGCAGCGCGGTGCTGCGCTTTTTCCTCTGCGCCATGTACGCGCCCATCTGCACCCTGGAGTTCCTGCACGACCCCATCAAGCCGTGCAAGTCCGTGTGCCAGCGCGCGCGCGACGACTGCGAGCCCCTCATGAAGATGTACAACCATAGCTGGCCTGAGAGCCTGGCTTGCGACGACCTGCCTGTGTACGACCGCGGCGTGTGCATCTCGCCGGAGGCCATCGTCACTGACCTCCCAGAGGGTGAGGCCAGGGGAAGGAAAGAGGGGGGTGATGAGGCATTCCTGGCAGTCGCTGCCATGTGAGAGATTGCATTTCCAGCTGCCAGCGGGTGGTCAGTCAGTGCCCCATCCCACTTCCGAGGATTAGAGGAATTGGGAAGGGCTGGTGCCTTTACTTCTGGAAAACTCCGGCTACTCTACAGGAATTTTAGGAGCTGAAAAACATCAAGTCCCGTAAGGTGTGGTGGTGGTAGTGGTGCTTACAATGGAAGCCATTGGGGACGTTTTCATTTACAGTAATAACAGAATAGTAATAGCAGCAGTAACAAACAGTTGTGTAGGGCTTATGGTGTGTGTGAGCTAAACACTTCACACATATCACTTAATCCTTAAAACAGTCCTACCAGGATTCTCCATTTAATGTTTACTCTTGAAAGCTCCTTCTGAAGAAGCAGCTCCAGTCATCACTCCCTGCCAGGAGTACGGCTTGTAAATTTAGTCACCCTGGAAAATTGTAATGTGTTTCATGGCGTTTGACCAGGAGCCAACAACTGTGATGTCTTAGTTACCTGGATCTCATCTTCCATTTCCTTCTTTTCTCTTTGGTCGTTTTGCTGTTTTCCTAGGAAGAAGGAGCAGGTTTCAATCCACTTGGTGAAATGAAACCTAAGAATGTTTTTGCATTCTTTTATCCCTGAACCAGATTGCTGCACATTTAAAGAGAGTATGGTGTTGCTTTAGTAGTTTCTCAAGCTCTACCTCAGAGCATTGCCCAAAACATGAAGGAAACGAAGGTAAAAGGAAAGATCGAAATCCTCTCTAGTTCAGAGTTCTAGAAAAACCTATTTGTGGCTTAAATTATATAAATAATATAGGGTTGTGCTTGTTTTGAACTATGTAGCTGTGGACTGTTTCTGTGCTGCAAGATGTGAGGTGGGGAATTGAAAAAATTCTGCTTATTTTGATTGGTGTAAATTGTCAACTCAGAAAATCAACATTTTACAATGGATGTGAGGAGGAATGACATAATTTGTCCTGGTTGGCTGGTTAACATCAGTTTGTGCTGGATAGGCAGCCTCACCTAAAAGCCTTTTTTCCTAAGCCCAGGGATTTCTGTGTGAAAGAAGTAGTCAACAATCACGTGCCATTTTTACTATTTAGTATTATCTTTTGTGATGCTATGTTAGTTTATGTCTCCAGATGATTCCTTATTCTAGCTGGGTGAACAGACCACATCACTGACCACACCCATGTGGCTCTGTGTGTGTTTCAGATGCTAAGTGGATTGACATCACACCTGATATGATGGTCCAGGAAAGGCCTCTTGACATTGACTGCAAACGCCTAAGCCCCGGTGAGTTGTCTTTAAGCCCCTGTTTCCTTCTCCCCAGAGTGATTTCTGAGCCCTCTTCCAATGTTTTTTTGTCTTTCTTTCATCTTCCTTAGACCGGTGCAAGTGCAAAAAGGTGAAGCCAACTCTGGCAACGTATCTGAGCAAAAACTACAGTTATGGTAAGTGGGACTTGGCACATTACAAAGCCAGGTCTGCTGGTCATAAAGTAAAGAAGAGGGTTGGTGATTTTTCTGGTTAACCATGTGTGTTTCAGATGGCACAATAACAACTGTAAAACTTCCTTATTTTCTGGGTTCATCAAATAAACACAAAGTAAATTACCCAGGTGAGGACAGTGATGTGGCTCCCATTCCAAGTCTGACATAATGATCTTACTTGAGTTAGTGAGAGGTGCTGTTTTGCCAGGACAGCACACCTTACCTGTTCTCTTACTAAGATTTCACTGCTGCGGGAAGGATGGGTGAGTGATCCATGGATTTCATTATCTGAGACCCAGAGGCCCAGGAATTAAGACCTGCCCCTGTATCTTTATACTTATAAATAGCTATAAATATTTAAGATCTTAAAAAAATGATGGGAATGTGTTAATCACAAGACCCTATGGCTACTAGTATTAACATTGCTTAAATGCCTCTTCATGCTTATCAGGAAAAAAAAGTCAACACTTTCTTCAAAGAATAAGCCAATCATTATATTTTGAATGTTCTAAGTAAATTTAATTCTATTACCGTCACTTGAAAGTAAACTTAATTAAAATATGTTCTTTTAAAATATCTATTTAGGCTATTTTATGATTCTTTTTATTTCTTAAATTATTTCTGCTGAAATAACATAAACTGAGGGAAAATGTTCATTTTATTTGCTAACAGTTTTCCATATTTCAAACTGAAATTTTATATCATAAGAACCTTTATATTATATACACACATGAAAGTAAGAAGATCATGGCAATATAAATGTCTGAAAAAATAATATTTTCTTTAGGTTGTCAGATTTGAGCATCATACTTAGCCAATGTGGGTAATTCAACCAAAACAAAAAAAAAATACACTTTTTTTTCTAGTAGCTTTCTGTTGTTTAAAACCATTCTATGTAGATATGGTATCTTAATCTGATCTACTTCGTCCCTCATTTGACACTGTGCAGCCTTAGTTACTAATCTGAGTTTTACGCTCATGCTGTTCGCTGGGGTGTCATGGCCTCAAAACTACTTTGATGATGAAACCATTTCTATTTAAGTCCTTTGGCTCCTTCATAAACCAGCTTCCTAGGATCGAATCCAAGACAGATCCTTATTAGGCTGATTACAACTCCATGGCAGGCAGTAGTAGCAAGGGACTGAAAGAGCCAGAATGTAAAGTGTCATCAGACACAGTGACACTCACAGCCATCTGTATTAACAGTTCTATGTCTACTCACCACAGACCTCGTTTTGACAGTCTCAGAAATTAAAGGATTGAGAACAGTGATCTTCAGAGACTCCTTCCAGCCTAAAATGTTATTGCTCTAATAACTTCCTCTGGAACAGAGGAAGTTCAAGCCTCAGATGGCTGATTGAACCACACAAACTTTAAAGTGGCTTCTGAATCTGAGAATGTATAATTCTCACTTCAAATCATCACGAGGCAGAGTATAAACAAATACGTATTGGTTTCTGTGAAATTTTTATTGACAGTCTGTGTAAATAAATTTCCTGACACATTTATGGGAAAAAAAAGCTAAGATTAGAATTTTAGGATTTTAGGGCTGAGAAGGATCTATGGAATCTCTAATCAAACCCTATTTGTAGCCCAGTGAGGAGCTGTCACTGACTCAAAAGCAGAAGCCTGCTTGTCAGTTTACTTTTACATCTTGCAGCATGAGTCAGAACTTTTAAGACAATATTCACGATATGGGAGGCCTTACATTTAGTGTATGATTGTGTGGGCTTTCTGCCTGCATTTGGGTGGCTCGGACATGACCATAATTACAGGAGCGATTCCTTAAGAGAGGCTCAGGAGTTGGCATGAGTACACCATCCCTATTTTTCTCCAAAGGTTTCAACAACATTTATATTGATTTTTAAATTGCAGCCATTCATGCCAAAATAAAAGCTGTGCAGAGAAGTGGCTGTAATGAAGTAACGACAGTGGTGGATGTGAAAGAGATCTTCAAGTCCTCATCACCTATCCCTCGAACTCAAGTCCCACTCATTACGAATTCTTCCTGCCAGTGTCCTCACATCTTGCCCCACCAGGACGTTCTCATCATGTGTTACGAGTGGCGCTCACGGTAGGCATGGTGGGACAAGAGAAACTACACACGCCTTATGAAAACATGACTCCGATTTAGCAGTCGTGGTTTAAAAAACATCAACAAGAACAAAAAACGGCACCAGCTTTTTAAAAAGCAGTTTTAATAAATACCTTTGTTGGGATGTCATATATCCTAAAACTCAATTAATTCTTCAAAGAATTAAGGAAAAATAGAAATGTATTTGAATGGAATCTTTAAAAATCAATTTCATAATTCCTTAAATGATTTCAAAAACTTGTAGACAGATAAATTACTTTAAGTAGAACCAAGTCTTTTCAAATCGTTCAAATCCATCTTAGTGTGGTAAATACTGGATTTTTTTAAGGTCTCTTTAATAACTTATAGATCAAGTAAAGGCCATTTGAGACTACAGTTCCACATATTTTCTTTACATACATTTGTTTTACATAGTTGTTTGTTATAGTATTGCATACACACACGTACACGCATAATCACACATATCTACTCATATCTCAGCTGTGAGTGTTTGTCTCCTCACATCTCTTTATTTAGCATCTTTTTAAAAACTTAATCAAAGAGGATAAAATTAAGTAAATAAATATATGTTATCTGAATAGTAATATAGTTTGTAAACATAAAAGTAATGTAAGAAATTACATGGGAAAATGTCAGTACACAAATCTGACCACATACTAGCATGTACATAAAAATCACAAATAAAAAGAAAAAGACATAAAAATTGAGAAAAATACAACAGGTATCACAAAAGAATAACTTTACTCTCACAAGAGTTTATATAAGTTACTATTTAAAACATTAAAGGCTGCAACACAGAAATGCATTTATATAAATCTATACAGACAAGATCCAGAAGAAATACAAAGAGTAAATAAAATGTTGAAAGTTTTATCTCTGTAATTCCCCAATCCAACTAAAAACATGATTCAATTTTTACCTGGTCTTAATATTAGTGAATTGATTGAAAGTTCAATCATTTTGAAAACAGTTTGGCAATATGCATTGAAAACCTTAATGTACGAGGTGTGATCAAACAAATATATACATATATATATATATATATATATATATATATATATATATATGCTCTTTGACCCAGTAATTCTACTTTCAGAAATGTGTCCTAAGGAAATGACAAGATAGTGCACAATATATACAAGGAATTTTCAATGCAACACTGGCAATAATAGCTAAGCAAAAGAGGAAGGTTCAAGAGTAGAGGAAGAGTAAAATATATTATGGATCTCCATAGTTGTAATATTATTTGGTTATTAAAGTTATATTTTTGAATTATTCTAATTATATCGGAAAATGCATATAATACAATGATAAAAGGAAATGTGTGATATTATCTAAATATACAGTGATATATATATATATATATATATATATATATATATATGTACATTCAAGGAAACAAAGGATATATCAATAGAGTATAAAAAATACAAACAAAAAAACAAAGTATAAATGGTGCGTTATAGAGTTAATGGTTATTGAAGAATTTTTAAAATTTTTGTATTTCTAAGCTTTTTACTTTCGTAATCAGAAGTTGCTTATTAAGATAAATTACTTTTTTTCAGGATGATGCTTCTTGAAAATTGTTTAGTTGAAAAATGGAGAGATCAACTTAGTAAAAGATCCATAGTAAGTATAATTAGCGATACCAGGAATATAGATTTAACTGCATGTAAAGAAATTCTGTAGAATTTGGGTATTTTTCTCATTCTTTCTTCTCCAGGCTGTCATAGGAGCCATCAATAGCAGCAGCATTTATCTTTTGAATAGGTAGTTACGATTCCAAGCTATTCTCACTTGGAATTTTTATAGTAAATCTCTCTTCAACTTCAAAGACCAATTTGGTTGCATTCAATACTGATCTGGTTATTTCCAGATTAAATTTGCTTTATGGCTTTTTTATTGTATTGTATTTAATTTTTTTAGCAAACAGTCAGGTACTTGGGCAGAAGTAATATTCAGAGGATTAAAGCAGACATATACATGTAGGGGTGTGAATACCCAGTTGTAAAACTCACCACTGTACAAAGCAGAACCTTTCCTTGTATTTAAAATAATTTTAAACTTTTATCAAAGTAAACTATATACAAAAAGTAATTATTTTCTATTTTGTATATTCATGATTTTAGTGGTAACATCATAGAAATATTGGTAATTCGGTTAGAGGAGTTAAAATAATTTTTTGCCCAGAGATGTGAAGTCATACCACAATTAAAGAGATAAGGTCATTAGTTTGAAATTTTTAAAGCATCTCTTCTCCTGAAAATATGTTTAGATACATTCAGGAGAATTTGTGTTTTCAGGTTCACAAAGGTACTGCTACTGTCTATGATGCCTTCATTTGCGTGAATAAAATTCTTGGTTAGGGGAGAGTATATATTAATATTGACTTATTGAGAATGTAGTTTCAACACAGCCTCTCCTACTCAGTGCATTTCTGAATAAAGGATCCAAACACTACTGTTACGTCTGAGCTAAAAACTCATGAGCTACTCAGGAGTACACTTAGTCTTACTAGAGAGAAAATTCTGGCTGAATTAGTTACCTGGTCTCCAAGGCTACAGTAGATTAGAAGCACCATAAAGACCTGAGGAAAGAAAGCTTTCAAGAATCACAGCTGTTTGGACCACTCGCTTTTGCAGAAAATATTACAAGATATTTCAGTAAGAATCTGAGGATATCACCATACAATAGCAATAATGAGTTTATTTTTTTAGAACACCCTAGGAAGTTAGGGACAGTCCTTTTTATTTCATTGTATTTCTCATGCCTAGAACAATGCTCAAATTCTTTGTTGATTGAAATATACTCTAACAAGTAGGGATGTGTGTTATAATAAAAAGAAATGTCTATTTAAGTGGACTCACTCTTTCATTTTTTTCTTACTTGCAGCTGTGTAAACAGTATTTATTTATATTATAAATACTAAATCCTTTTCTATCAAGGAAACTTAACTGTCCAGAATGACGCATTTCCCATCTGTTCTGAAATGCTAACACTTGAGTAGATTACTAGATGTAGGTGGGGCTTCTGTCTTCTATTGGATGTAAGAGCATTAATTGAATTCCTATGTGGTAAGAGGCCTCTCATTTTCAGTGGGGCTGGATAAATTTCTTCTTTTAGCCAGGTCAACCCTTTTTTAGAAGGCTTTGCTGTGTAGGAATGTTGTGTAGGAATAGGGCCAATGGGAAAAACTGCATGGGTTCGGGCCTTGAGCTCTGGAGTCAGACTGGTGAATTTGAATTCTAGCTCTGACATTTACCAGCTGTGTGACCTTCTGCAAATAACCTCGCTGTGCTTGTTTCCTGGTCATGAGTATAGTGTCCACCTAGAAGGGCTTTTGTGAGTTTCAATGAAATTAATGCATGTCAAGACTTCATCATATACTCAGCATTTAGAGTAGCTATTATAATTATTATCATGGTTAGTATGTTATAAGGAAAACAATTTCATTAATTCTGCTATTAGTTTAATAGCATAAAGGGGTGAGATGTGCTGGACAGTCATCTTTACAAATTGCCTCCCAGCAGTGGGAAGAGAGGCTACGCGAACAGCAGAGGACGATCCAGGACAAGAAGCGAGCAGCCGGGCGCACCAGCCGTAGTAACCCTCCAAAACCAAAGGGAAAACCCCCTGCTCCCAAACCAGCCAGCCCCAAGAAGAACATTAAGACTAGGAGTGCCCCAAAGAGAACAAATCCAAAAAGAATGTGAGCTAACTGCTTTCCAAAACGGAGACTTCCTCTCAGGATGAAGCCAGGCGTTGCCCAGACAGCCTGTGGAAGGCACACATCCCTTGCCTTAACGACTACAGTATTCTTCATAGACACATCTTGCAGCATTGTTCTTAATGATATGCTTCAATTTCTCTTTTTAAGCCACTACAAGCCATAGTGGTAGGTATTCCCTTTGGTACGGAAGGTGTATGAAAGCTGGTCAAAAAAAGTTTATCGTGTTCAGAGTGGCCTATGTGCATACTCTATGAGAGCTCCATGTGGGGAGATATACTTTGTTCTTACAATTTGACCTAATATGTGCATCATTAAATAAATGTCATATTACAAATAAAACACCTAATTTTGTTTACAATATGTTGTATTTCAGTATGACTTCTGTTAGAATCTTAGTGATTTTTTAAAATGTGATTGAAAATATGCTTCTAAGGAGGAAAGCAAAAGTAATGAATGTTTAAAAGATTTTTATATGTTTACTGTTTGCAGAAGAATTTTTGTGATGAAAGGGGACTTTTGAACAATCTAGAAAAGTAGGATATGGAAAATTGTACTGAGTTCTTTTTTACAGTGAAGACTTTCTGCTCTGTTTTTAGCTAGAAACTCTAAAATTAAATAATAATAATGATAAATAAATAAAAGGGTAAGACAGACAATGTCTGGATCCTTGTTTTCTGGTTATCATGCCATGGTGCCTCTTATCAGGACACTTTAAGTAGCACCAGAAACAGTTTCCTTCTCCTGTTATGACTTAGGTACCAATTAGTCAATGCCAACTATTTCACACCTGTGGGTGTGGTACTCGGCTCACTTCCCAGGACTTTGAGGTATCCTGAGGCCAAGCCTCTCTGCTGGTTGTCGGTGCTTAGAAGGGGGCCGTGGACCTGAGGCGGGAGGGTCAGGACCCAAAGCAGCTGGTTCTCAGCCTCTGATACACTGAGGTCACACGCAAACTCTGCACCTGGAGAAGGCAACTGTGGTCACTTGTCCACCCACCATTCAGGAACGTAGAGGAACAATCTGAAAGCTTAAGAGTTAAACCTCCTTTAGATGTACCATTGTTCCTGCTTCCCAGAGAAAGCGATAAGAGCCATGTGGCATTCATCCAGGATAATTAAGCAAATAATTCAATTTTGTCTCTGGAGCAATGGGGACACAGAAGTGATGTGTGTGGGTAAGCCAGGGAAGAATGGAAGAATAGGACCGATGAGAATGCTGGTGCGGGTACCCCTCTCCCCCTGAAAGTGTTCTGCCTGCACTGCTACCCCAGGGTGGCAGAGAGAAAGGGATCCATTCGATTGACCCACACCAGGATATCAATAAAACCTGCAGAGTGTGTTTCTGCTATAGGAAAGCCAAACCTGTTCAGCCCTTAAGGAAGCCAGATAGGTGTTTAGCATAGATCCAAACTAAAGAAACCTAGGAAAGGCCACGAAAAGGCACTGCTAGCCTAGTCTACCTCTTTAGCATAGTAGGAATTCTTTGGAGGAGGAAAGTTAGAAATGGAACTCTCCATGGAAAAAGGGAAAAGATGCTTATACAAAACCTACTTTTTGGGCCAGCCAAGTGGCACAGTTGGTTAACAGTGCGAGCTCTGAGCAACAGGGTCGCCGGTTTGATTCCCACATGGGCCAGTGAGCTGCGCCCGAGCTGAGCTGCTGCTGAGTTGCCAATGGGTCAGCTGGTGAGAGTGTGTGCTCTTAACAACAAGGTTGCCAGTTGGAATCCCTCATGGGATGGTGGGCTGTGCGCCTCCCTCTCCCCCCGCAACTAGACTGAAAGCGGCGACTGGACTTGGAACTGAGCTTACACCCTCCACAACTAAGATTGAAGGACAACAACTTGACTTGGAACTGATGGGTCCTGGAAAAACACAATGTTTCCTTCCCCAATTCCCCAATAAAATCTTTTTTAAAAAAACCCTACTTTTTAAAGTGCAAAACAATATAGTAAAAATTTGGAGATGCCTTTACAAATTTAAACACTGTTTACTTTGAAGATTTAACTGAAATCATATACTGATTATTACACAAAAACTTAATCAGCACATTTATCAGTTTGATTAATTGATAAAGGATTAACCAGATTGGTTATCTATGAAAATGAACAGCAGCCCACACTCAGCATAATATAACAAATATGGAAGTGGCCTTTGTGTGAGAGCCAAAAATTTATTTTTCTCACTTAAAGATTTCTCCACCTAAATACATGTGAGAGGAAGTAAATATAAATATATGAAGAGGAAAGCTGGGGTTCTATCTCTGAAATGGGAATTGTTTGAGAGTTGGGTTACTTTCATTTAAAAAAACACACCTTATTTTGCAATGTTTTTTAACACATTTTATGATTAAAAACAACTGAAGGCATTTATTTTGAAAATTATTTTGTTGGTCTTTCAATAATACAGTGAACATGTATTTTCTGTAAAGCATTCAATAAATGTATAAAATAATAAATAATGGAATTAAAATCATACCTAATCCCACTCACCACTATGAGGTAATCACTATTAGTATTTTTGTATATAATTTTCCAGTTGTTTCCTATGCATTTATATAATGATTTGAAAAAATAAAACTAGGAGCCTATTATACATACTGTTTCATAACCTGCCTTCTTCACTCAGCTCTTTACTGAGATCAGTTCTCATGTCAGTAAAGCCAATGCCACCTCATTTATAGCGGCTGTGTTGTATTCCATGGTATGCATTACACAACAATCCGTTATGTTATTAGGGCTTTACTTTGATTCTTAACTGAACATACTGACTAACTGAATAAACATCTTGATAGCTAGTATCTGCACACATTCTTAATTAGTTCTTTTGGGATGTTGTTTAAGTAGCTTTGATTGCTAAACTATGGAATATGCCCAACAAGGAAAGTTTTTTTATCATATTGTCAATTATCCTCCAGCATGCTTGGACCATAAATCTATCAAAATGCTGACCTTCCAAATCCTCACAAAGATCGTTTCCTCCTTCCCATAGTTTTTATAAGTTTTAGCTGGGAACTGGATGTCATCCTGGGTGAAGCTACTCTCTTCATCTGTGAGTCATCAACTGACAACATTCTCAACACTCCCAACCTCCAGGCAGCTGGGAAAGAAATGACTGAGCTTCTGGAGGGCGGTAGAGTAGGTAGATGATGATAGATGATAGATAGATAGATAGATAGATAGATAGATAGATAGATAGATAGATAGATAGATGATAGATAACACATACATATATGTACACATACATACATATATGAATAGATTTCTTGACTTTTGGAGAAAACCTATGCAACCTTCTCAATTTTTTTTAATGAATCAAATTTAATAATATAACTCTCATCAGCTAGAGAAACCAAAGAACTAGGATTCAGCAGAAGTGCCAATAGATTTTTTTTCTCTTTCCAGTTTTCTTTTAAGATACACGAGAACTTAGATAATGACCTTAATTTCTTAGTTTCCAGTCCTAAACTATTGCAGTCTGATTTTTGTGCTTGGATGCTTATAGGATTGTCCACTGCAAACTTAGAAAAAACTCCTTTACTTGAGCTAGCTCAAGGGTGCTTCTCCCTGATGGAACCAGTCCCTGAATAACAAGGATGGGAACATTTTACCACAAGTCTCTGCATGCTGTTATCACCAATTCAAATAGCAAAAATGATTATTTGGAAGCATGGAATTAAAAAAGTTGAATGGGACCTTTTAAGTCATCATCTAGCTTGCTGAAGAAAGGCTGTGTCAGGGCGTGTCTGATGTCTCACATCTAGTGAAAGGCCGGGTCCCCCAGAGTTACTCACTTTTAGTATAACAGATGGAAGTGCACTGGTGTTTTGGTAACAGAAAACCAACCATACTATTAGAAGGAATACTTCTGGTTCTAGTCTGATATGTGCTGAAAATGACCATATTTCCTAACGGGAAAATACTTTTTGAAAAATGCATTTTATACCGAGATATATTCTGTTATATTTACAGGTATATCATGTTACATTTGCCAACCAAAAATTTTAGTTAATTGTCAGTTTTGTGATTTAACTGATAAGCAAGCAATGCTGTGTTCTCCAGATCAACAGAGCACCTGGGATAGGGTATCTCCTTAAAATCAGTACCCCCAAGGAGGTGCTTGACAGTAGGATGGCAAGAAAATATCTCCCCTTTTTACTATTCAATCAACAGAATAAATGAAAACAAAAGCACCCAAAAATGTCAAAATAACTACCCCTAATGGCAAATTAGCATTTTATTATGAATCTTTTCAGACTTTCTCCTTGTTTGCATGTATGAATTTAAAAATGACACATGAACATTTTTCCCTGTAAGAAATACAACTGAATTTTTATTTTCTCACAGATGCATAGCATGGATGTGTCAGAGTTCATTTTGCCAATAACTGTGAGAATGGACTTTTAAATGTGGTTCCCAAGGCATGCTAGGGTAAGACAGATTTTTGTGACACAAATATTTTTCCACTATTATTGAAGTCTCAAGGCCAGAATGGGGCATAAATGGGTTTCTTTTGTATTTTTTCTAATAAATGTGTTAGTTTTATACTAGAAAATACTACAAAAATATGAGAGAGAGAGAGAGAGAGAGAGAGAGAGAGAGAGAGAGAGAGAGAGAGAGAGAGAGATGGGTTTAAACCAGGTAGACATGCAAACATGAAAATTATTTCACTGATTATGCTTGTTAGTCTGTGTCCTCAGAGAAGCAGAAACCAAAAGGGAATTAAATTAAATGTGGAGGTATTCTATTAGAGGAAACACCTGTGATAGAGAATAAGCAGGGAAATGAATAGGGTAGAGAGAAGGAAGGTCAGGTGGAAGCATTTTAGACTGCCTCAGTGTCTAAGGAAGGTTTGGTAGGGTTATTGGGGAGCTGTGAGCCATGCCTCAGGAGTCCTCATCTCCCAGGAACAGCTCTGTCTTCGTTCTGCTGCACTCAGCCATTGAGTAGGAGCAGCCCATGGACGGCCTGGTTTGGGTGCAAAGGTAGCAATAGATTTCAGACTGTAGTGTCTGGAGACCTCGTTAATTTAGGACCCTGCAATTGGAGTCTATGACTCACTTCCCAAAGGCCATCACAATATGAGCATTATAAAAATAGTGAGATGTTGCCACTACATTTTCAGCACAATCTATAAAGTGGTGGTGCCAAGCAACAAAGCGTCTCTGTCAACTTCTGTAATTGTCATCAATACACTATTTGAATCCCTAAACCTCAAAAACTTTTATGTATTCATTTCCTTTTCACATCTTTTATGTTTTATTTCAAATTTATTGAAGAGAAAATGTGTTAATCACAGCTTCGGGTCTTACGTATTTATTCTTCTACCTGAGAACAGTCTCTTTAAAATAGAATGTAAGAAAACATTTTTTAGAGGTAACTAATGGCAAAAAGAAACTCTATGTTAGATAATTTTGCCTTTACCTGTTCAGACAGCATAAGCCTAATATATGTAGCTGCAACATTTGTATGAGAACAGTTTTATAATTCGATAACCCTAAAATATGTAGCTATAATATCTTGATAAGAACCACTTTATAATGGAAAGTTTGGATCACATTAGTGATATACTCTGACAGGGAAAAAGAGCATACTTTATTAACAATTAAATTTGGCTAACAGCAGACTTATAACCAGAGGGCTGAACCAAA